ATTCTATTGGTTTTTTACAGAGAGGAAGGGAGAGGGATAGAGAGTTAGAAACAACGATGAGAAAGAAACATCGATCAGCTGCCTCCTGCACACCTCCCACTGGGGATGTGCCCGCAACCAAGGTACATGCCCTTGCCTGGAATGGAACCTGGGACCTTTCGGTCCGCAGGCTGACGCTCTATCCACTGAGCCAAACCAGGCCGGCAAAAATTATATATTTTTTAAAGAACGGGTGGGCAAGTTCATTTAGTCCAAAAGAAATAAGTGGTTTATAGAGAAAGTAGGTCATGAGGAAATTTGCTGAATTTGCTCCGAGCTGTGTGGCCAGTGCTTGACTTAAACCGAACTCGGCCGGGTTATGCAGCAAACCTTTCCGGATGCCTGGCTTCTCTCTGGTGCTGCGCAGAGTTGGTGCCTCTGCGATACCATTGTCCTGATAACAAATCCCTGTACCCAGGCACCACACATTCGGCCAAGATGTATAAATGCGACCGGAGAGACGATGCCCAGTGGTCCGGTCAAGAGGAATGTGCTCTAGGGAATCTTTTTGGCAAAATTTGGCAGCATTGGAGAGGACTTTTTTCCTGATTGCGTTGCTCAAAGGGGTTCTATCAACTTTCCTCTCGCCTAATTGGCCAAGAGACCATTTACTGCCGAATCTTTCTGATGTGAATATGCGTGACGTGCACGACACCCACTTGCGATGAGGCTTTCCTTCCACGAGAGGGAGTAGCGGCCTTGCACATCGGCAATTGTCTGCTTCCAAAACTAAGGTCTGCCTCTCAAGAGATCTGCTCTGTACAGTGCTCTCAAATTCCGCTGTAAACTACTTCATCTCCTTCTTAAGTCTTGTCACTTGCAAATGGGGAAACTGAGGCACTTGGCATGGATTCCTTCCATAAAACGGGGGCGACGTGAGATGTAATGGCCGCACAGGGAGAGACCACGTCACCGAGCCCTTGGTGCTCCCGGAGGCCCAGCTTCCGTGCCCGCTTCGCCCCCCCGCGACTTCCCATCCTTTTCCCTCACTTCCTTCTCCCGTATGCCCCGCCCCTGGCGCCGGGCAACGCGCGTCTGTGATTGGCTGGCGGGAGTTGCGCGGCAGCGGAAGAG